TGCCTCAGTTTTGATGATGGCAATTTGCATATACTCCAGAATGTCATGAAGAGTGATCAGATTAATTGCAAAGTCCCTCTTTGCCATGAAAATGAACTTAATCCCCCAAAAAACATTTTCACTGCATTTCAGCCCTGCCACAAAAGGACCAGCTGCCATCATGTCAGTGATTCTCTCGTTAACACAGGTGAGAGTGTTGACGAGGACAAGGCTGGAGATCACTCTGTCATGCTGATTGAGTTAGAATAACAGACTGGAAGCTTTAAAAGGAGGGTGGTGCTTGAAATCATTGTTCTTCCTCTGTTAACCATGAATACCTGCAAGGAAACACGTGCCGTCATCATTGATTTGCACAAAAAGGGCTTCACAGGCAAGGATATTGCTGCTAGTAAGATTGCACCTAAATCAACCATTTATTGGATCATCAAGAAGAGGAGAGGTTCAATTGTTGTGAAGAAGGCGTCAGGGTGCCCAAGAAAGTCCAGCAAGCGCCAGGACCGTCTCCTAAAGTTGATTCAGCTGCGGGATCGGGGCACCACCAGTTCAGAGATTGCTCAGGAATGGCAGCAGGCAGGTGTGAGTGCATCTGCACGCACAGTGAGGCGAAGACTTTTGGAGGATGGCCTGGTGTCAAGAAGGGCAGCAAAGAAGCCACTTATCTCCATGAAAAACAGCAGGGACAGACTGATATTCTGCAATGGTACAGGGATTGGACTGCTGAGGACTGGGATAAAGTCATTTTCTCTGATGAATCCCCTTTCCGATTGTTTGGGGCATCCGGAAAACACCTTGTCCGGAGAAGACAAGGTGAGCGCTACCATCAGTCCTGTGTCATGCCAACAGTAAAGCATCCTGAGACCATTCATGTGTGGGGTTGCTTCTCAGCCAAGGGAGTGGGCTCACTCACAATTTTGCCTAAGAACACAGCCATGAATAAAGAATGGTACCAACACATCCTCCGAGAGCAGCTTCTCCCAACCATCCAAGAACAGTTTGGTAACGACCAATGCCTTTTCCAGCATGATGGAGCACCTTGCCATAAGCAAAAAGTGATAACTAAGTGGCTCGGGGAACAAAACATCGAAATCTTGGGTCCATGGCCAGGAAACTCCCCAGACCTTAATCCCATTGAGAACTTGTGGTCGATCCTCAAGAGGCGAGTGGACAAACAAAACCCACAAATTCTGACAAACTCCAAGCATTGATCATGCAAGAATGGGCTGCCATCAGTCAGGATGTGGCCCAGAAGTTAATTGACAGCATGCCAGGGCGGATTGCAGAGGTCTTGAAAAAGAAGGGTCAACACTGCAAATATTGACACTTTGCATAAACTTAATGTAATTGTCAATAAAAGCTTTTGACTCTTATGGAATGCTTGTAATTTTACTTCAGTATACCATAGTAACATCTGACAACAATATCTCATAACACTGAAGCAGCGAACTTTGTGAAGACCAATACTTGTGTCATTCTCAAAACTTTTGACCACGACTGTACCTCCTCAGGGATTATGGATTATAACAGTAGTATTGAGGATTTCTTTTGAGCTTTTTTTACTCTCTTTTGAATGACTGACTGGATTCACATTCCCTGGAAGTAGTCTGTAGCTGTAGCCACCTGCCTGCCAGTCCTCCCGGTCAAGGCGCACGGAATGACAAGGAGTTTATGGAATGTTTATGTGTAACTCCTTGAAGGGTTTCTGTGTTTTCTCTCTTTAACCCCCCCCCCCCCCCCCCCCCCCCCCCCCGCTCCTCCTCCTCCAGCTATCACCAATCACCTCCTCAGACTCCTTCTATGTTCAAGGCTGACAGGTTTACTTCTTATTAAATCACATGGTCTTGGATTTTGATCAACTCATCTGGACAGATACAATTGATTGATTAAACCGTAAAAAAAAATATCTAACATCTGAATTCCTCTAGCTGTCCCTCAGAGGAATGAGATGACTGATGCAGAGAAAGAGTCCCCTAGCTGGATCTGAGATTTAGGATGAGGCGGAGCAACACGCTCTGTGGTAGATAGATAGTACTAAATGAGTCATACTTTGATAGCTGTATTTGATATTCAGTCATCAAGACATCAATATCACAAACCCCATCAGATATACGACAGCTATGGAGTTTGTTTGGATCTGAGATCTTAATTAAAAGCCCAGGGTGTAGCGATGGGGTTTTCAATTTCCATCTACTTCTTTTATAGCCTGATCCCAGATCTGTCTGTGCTGTCTTGCCAACTCCTTTGGTCATTGTGCATGGCAAACTAAGTATGCCAATGGCTTTGGAACACAAACAGGCCAGGCTACTTGTTTAACTGACTTTGATGCGAGGATAACAGGCAACCCCCATAACGCAGTGCCCTTTAAGCCCTACCATCACAACGTGGTGTCCTACTGGGCCTGTTCAATTATGGATTGTGTCAGACTAAGTTAGGGCCTGTGGGAATAATTCCATTGTTGTGAATCTGATCCACAGCTCATTCTTCTGTTTGGTCTATGTCCATGGATGCGTCGCAAATGGCACGCTATATAGTGCACTACATTAGGGCTCTGGTCAAAAGTAAGTGCACTACAAAGGGACTAGGGTGCCATTTGGGATGCACACTCATGACTTTAATCATTTTTCAATACTCCCTCAGCATTAAATATGAATGTGTTGTGTACTTGTTGAGAATATGAGAAACCCATAAAGCTAAATATTTAACTGGGACTGTCTGGCTCTCATTGCTGGTCTGAGAGGAAGAGGGAGGAGACAGGAAGTGTTCCTGTGAAAAGTGTTTGTCTAATCTATGATTAGATAACAAAAAAACGTGATCCCAATAATAAAACAAAAAGCAGTTAATTGACCTTCATGTGCCGCCTCCTCCTCCGGAAGCGTAGCAGTTCCTTGTGTTGGCGAGCGATGAAGTTCACAGCAGCGTACTCAAGGAGGGCCGAGAAGACAAACAGGAGGCACACGGCCATCCAGATGTCAATGGCTTTCACATACGACACCTGAGATCGGGCAGGAGGACACAGTGGTAAGCAGGAGGAGGACAACAACAACAACAACAACAACAACAACAACAACAACAACAACAACAGAAGGTGACATTTTCAAATGAAACTGACCTTGGAGTGGAAGATAATGTACAGTACCATCTATATACAGAGCATTTGGAAAGTATTCAGACCCCTTGACCTTTTCCACATTTTGTTACATTACAGCCTTATTCTAAAATGAATTTTAAAAAATGTTCCCCCTCATCAATCTACACACAATACCCCATAAAAACAAAGCAAAAACTGGTTTTTAGATTTTTTTGCAAAAATAAATACAAACAAAAGGAAATATGACATTTACATAAGTATTCAGACCCTTTACTCAGTACTTTGTTGAAGCACCTTTGGCAGCGATTACAGCCTCAAGTCTTCTTGGGTATGACGCTACAAGCTTGGCACACCTGTATTTGGGGAGCTTCTCCCATTCTTCTCTGCACATCCTCTCAAGCTCTGTCAGGTTGGATGGGGAGCGTCGCTGCACAGCTATTTTCAGGTCTCTCCAGAGATGTTCGATCGGGTTCAAGTCTGGGCTCTGGCTGGGCAACTCAAGACATTCAGAGACTTGTCCCGAAGCCACTCCTGTGTTGTCTTGGCTGTGTGCTTAGGGTCGTTGTCCTGTTTGAAGGTGAACCTTCGCCCCCACTCTGAGGTCCTGAGTGCTCTGGAGCAGGTTTTCATCAAGGATCTCTCTGTACTTTGCTCCGTTCATCTTTCCCTCGATCCCGACTAGTCTCCCAGTCCCTGCCTCTGAAAAACATCCTCACAGCATGATGCTGCCACCACCATGCTTCACCGTAGGGATGATGCCAGGTTTCCTCCAGACTTGACGCTTGGCATTCAGGCCAAAGAGTTCAATCTTGGTTTCATCAGACCAGATAATCTTGTTTCTCATGGTCTGAGAGTCCTTTAGGTGCCTTTTGGCAAACTCCATGCGGGCTGTCATGTGCCTTTTACTGAGGAGTGGCTTCTGTCTGGCCACTCTACCATAAAGGACTGATTGGTGGAGTGCTGCAGAGATGATTGTCCTTCTGGAAGGTTCTCCCATCTCCACAGAGGAACTCTGGAGCTCTGTCAGAGTGACCATCGGGTTCTTGGTCACCTCCCTGACCAAGGCCCTTCTCCCCTGATTGCTCAGTTTGGAAGAGTCTTGTTGGTTCCAAACTTCTTCCATTTAAGAATGATGGAGGCCACTGTGTTATTGGGGACCTTCAATGCTGCAGAAATGTTTTGGTAGCCTTCCCCAGATCTGTGCCTCGACACAATTCTGTCTCTGAGCTCTACGGACAATTCCTTTGACCTCACGGTTTGGTTTTTGCTCTGACATGCACTGTCAACTGTGGGACGTTATATAGACAGGTATGTGCCTTTCCAAATCATGTCCAATCAATTGAATTTACCACAGGTGGACTCCTATCAAGTTGTAGAAACATCTCAAGGATGATCAATGGAAACAAGATGCACCTGAGCTCAATTTCGAGTCTCATAGCAAAGGGTCTGAATACTTTTTAATACATTTGCAAAAATTTCTAAAAACATGTTTTTGCTTTGTCATTATGGTGTATTATGGGGAGATTGATGAGATTTTTTTTTTTTTCTAATCCATTTCAGAATAAGGATGTTACTTAACAAAATGTGGAAAAAGTCAAGGGGTCTGAATACTTTCCAAATGTGCTGTATGTATCTGTATCTATGATCCTTGATTAATTCATTTGATGTCTGCTACAAAGACAACATTTATCTTCAAACTCTGAGAACTGTCCAGTACACAATAGGTCCTGCACGGTCAGTTGGCTTAGCAGGACTCTGCTCTGCCTGGGCAGTGAGATAGAGAGAGGTATGGAAACCACATATTTGACTGGAAATGGGGCTAAAGCTAGATTGGGCTGGCTTGTCAGTTCATCTGAAGCTCACTGTATTTGACAAGTCAGTGACCAAGTGGCCCTGGAATGCAGCTTAGGTGGCATTACAGAATGCATGGTTCACAAGACATTGTTCAAATGATGACAAGGCAGCAGCCCGAGACAGACATGGGCAGACTACTGTTCTACTGTTTCCTGGTGTCGTTGGATTGCTATGGATTTCTAATTTTCCACACCAGATCAAATATGTTTGATGTGTTTTTTAGTTTTACAGTACTTGATCAATTAAAGTGGTGAAATGTATTTTTATGCTGGACATCTTCTTCAGCTCTTTGTAATGGAAGTAGAGCACTACAACAGGGGGAGAGAAAATAACGACTGCAAAAAAAGTAACATTACCGTGGTGGCTAGATTTGTTTAGTAAAGTCACAGTAAAGGGTGACTGAATGTTATTGGCATTCAAAATGGCCCTCTCTCCTCTCCTTCCCTCCCTGTCACCAATGCACCAAGTCAGCGAGGCGTGGAAGAGAGAGAGCAGTCTGTGCTGTGTGCACCTACGCTCAGCCGTGCCGTGTGATCATTATTGTGACAGCTGAATTGCATAGAAATCACGGTTCACTTGTTCAATTCTCCAGAGAACATGAATCACCTAATGTCAACAAACAAACTGGGAGGATACTTTTCCAGGACATAATTATAAAATCCTAGTCCCTCACGCAAAGTCCCTCTTCTTTTTTAATCTGAAAATCCTTACAGCAAAAAGATTTATCATTAAAAGGCTTTTTTTTTTCTTCTCACGTTGAGTTAGTTTGACCATCTGGGACAACAGACAGAGTGTGTTTTGACTTTATCTTGGACAACATGCCCAGAGTGTGGTTTTGACCATCTTGGACAACAGACAGAGTGTAGTTTGACCATCTTGGACAACAGACAGAGTGTAGTTTGACCATCTGGGACAACAGACAGAGTGTGGTTTGGAGTTCATCTGGGACAACAGACAGAGTGTGGTTTGGAGTTCATCTGGGACAACAGACAGAGTGTGGGTTTGAATTAATCTACAAATGACAGAATGTATTTGAAATTCATCTTTTTGGACAACAGACAGAGTGTGGTTTGGAGTTCATCTGGGACAACAGACAGAGTGTGGTTTATGGGAGTTCATCTGGGACAACAGACAGAGTGTGGTTTGGAGTTCATCTGGGACAACAGACAGAGTGTGGTTTGGAGTTCATCTGGGACAACAGACAGAGTGTGATTTAACGACACAAGTCAGAGTCGAGTTCTTGCTTGCCCATATCGGGACTGACCGTTGTATGGGCCTCTGCTTTTGCGCCTTATAGCGGGCTGACTGTGTGGGGTTGTGTGTGTGTGGGTCGTGTGTGTGTGTGTGTGCAAAAGCAACGTGTGTGTATGTTTGCATGTGTGTGTGTGTGTGTGTGTGTTTGTGTGTGTGTGTGTGTTCATGTCTGTATCTGTGTGTGTGTGTGTTCATGTCTGTGTGTGTGTGTGTGTGTGTGTGTGTGTGTGTCAGTGACAGGTGCAGGTGTGTTGTGTTCCTCTTCCCCTCCTCACCTTGGGGAGGGCGGCTCGGGAGCCGGAGATCTGGGTTAGGGAGTGTGTGTCTCACCTTGGGGAGGGAGGCTCGGGAGCCGGAGATCTGGGTTAGGGAGTGTGTGTCTCACCTTGGGGAGGGAGGCTCGCGACCCGGGAGATTGGGAGGAGTTTTGTGTTCTTGGAAATGGGGAGATCGTTGTGTGTCTCACCTTGGGGGAGGGAGGCTCGGGAGCCGGAGATCTGGGTTAGGGAGTGTGTGTCTCACCTTGGGGAGGGAGGCTCGCGAGCCGGAGCTCTGGGTGGTCATAGTGAGCACGGTGGTAATGCCCAGTCCCACTCTGGCAGGTGCAGCGTCCATGTTGATCCAGAAGGACACCCAGGACAAAATGACAATCAGAAGGCTGGGGATGTACATCTGAATCAGGTAATAGCCCATCTGCCTCTCCAGATGGAAACGAGCCTCGATACAAGTGAACTTTCCTGTAATACAGAGGACATAGACAGAGGAAAAAGCCGGGGTTCAGATAAAAATATGATATTTTATAATATTATTACTACAATAAAGTCTATACTATGATATAATATGATTCTGTATAATATTATTACTATAATACATTCTATATACTATGATATAATATGATTCATTATAATATTATTACTATAATACAGTCTATACTATGATATAATATGATATATTATAATATTATTACTACAATAAATTCTATATACTATGATATAATATTATATATTATGATATTATTACTACAATACAGTCTATATACTATGATATAATATGATATATTATCATATTATTATCTAATATTTTACTGTAGTTGCTGCTGTGTTATGGATCTACTGTTATCATTACAGATATACTGTAACACATCATCTAGTCTTTCTGTTCTGCATGTCTCAAGAACACAAGAAGACAACTGCAGGCAAGGCAACGGCTATTCAAGCTTCTTTTTCACATGGCTGTGGATAGCCTCAGTGCTGAATTGCCTCCTAACTTAATTATCCTCCTATTTCCCCTGAAGTGTTGGAAGAGACTGAGGCAGAGGCCTGGAGAGAACATCCGTTTGACAGAGTGGCTGTAGGTAAAATACCCCCTACGTTTAAATGTAACACACCACTACAGCTGACTGGTGTTATGTTGTGGTTGAACCCACTACAGCTGAGCAGGTGGTTTATGTTGTGGTTGAACCCCTACCTGACAGTGTTTATGTTGTGGTTGAAACCCACCACAGCTGACAGGTTTTATGTTGTGGTTGAACCCACCACAGCTGACTGGTGTTATGTTGTGGTTGAACCCACTACAGCTGACAGGTGTGATGTTGTGGTTGAACCCACTACAGCTGACTGGTGTGATGTTGTGGTTGAACCCACTACAGCTGACAGGTGTTATGTTGTGGTTGAACCCACCACAGCTGACAGGTGTTATGTTGTGGTTGAACCCACTACAGCTGACAGGTGTTATGTTGTGGTTGAAACCCACTACAGCTGACAGGTGTTATGTTGTGGTTGAACCCACTACAGCTGACAGGTGTTATGTGTTGTGGTGAACCCACTACAGCTGACAGGTGTTATGTGTGGTTGAACCCACCACAGCTGACAGGTGTTATGTTGTGGTTGAACCCACTACAGCTGACAGGTGTTATGTTGTGGTTGAACCCACTACAGCTGACAGGTGTTTAATGTTGTGGTTGAAACCCACTACAGTTATGTTTGTGGTTGAACCCACTACAGCTGACAGGTGTTATGTTGTGGTTGAACCCACCACAGCTGACAGGTGTTATGTTGTGGTTGAACCCACTACAGCTGACAGGTGTTATGTTGTGGTTGAACCCACTACAGCTGACAGGTGTTATGTTGTGGTTGAACCCACTACAGCTGACAGGTGTTATGTTGTGGTTGAACCCACTACAGCTGACAGGTGTTATGTTGTGGTTGAACCCACTACAGCTGACAGGTTGTTATGTTGTGGTTGAACCCCCTACAGCTGACATGTGTTATGTTGTGGTTGAACCCACTACAGCTGACATGTGTTAGTGTGGTTAACCCAGCTGACAGTGTGATGTTGTTGTTGAACCCACCACAGCTGACAGGTGTTATGTTGTGGTTGAACCCACTACAGCTGACAGGTGTTATGTTGTGGTTGAACCCACCACAGCTGACAGGTGTTATGTTGTGGTTGAACCCACTACAGCTGACAGGTGTGATGTTGTGGTTGAACCCACTACAGCTGACAGGTGTTATGTTGTGGTTGAACCCACCACAGCTGACAGGTGTTATGTTGTGGTTGAACCCACCACAGCTGACAGGTGTTATGTTGTGGTTGAATCCACTACAGCTGACAGGTGTTATGTTGTGGTTGAACCCACTACAGCTGACAGGTGTTATGTTGTGGTTGAACCCACCACAGCTGAGAGGTGTTATGTTGTGGTTGAACCCACTACAGCTGACAGGTGTAATGTTGTGGTTGAACCCATCTACTTCCCTGACCACAGCTGTGTAGCGAACACCACAACCGACGGTAAGGTTTCCACCCAAACAGCACCCTATTCTATATAGTACACTACTTTTGACCAGGGCTCATGGGGCATTAGGGTGACTAGGGTGCCCTTTCAGACATAACCCAGAACGGAAGCTAAAAGAGGGCATTATAAACTCATGATAAGCATCCTCTTTCTTTATTTGGCTGTCTGTGTGATGTAAACACCAGGGGTGTCTTGTCTGTCAGAGTGGCTAGATGCTCCAGATCGCTGACCAGCCATTTAATCAGCTTAGATCCATTGAAGACAGCTGTCTTTGTGTTGAAGACTTTCAATTCAATTAGAGTTTAACGCTAGTGTATTGTTTTGGACGTGGAGAGAGGGAGACATGGAGGGAGGCCACATCATCATTTAAATTGATTTACTGCTGTGATACACTTCAGGGCTTTTAAGTACACTCCATTTTTCCATCTGATAAGATATGATGGTCTCGCTATGATAGGGGGTGTATGTGACAGACAGAGAGAGAGAGAGAGAGAGAGAGAGAGAGAGAGAGAGAGATAGAGAGAGAAGAGAGAGAAGCGGAAGGAGAGGAGAAGAGAGAGATATAGAGAGGAAGAGAGAGAGGAGAGGAAGCTGAGAGGAGCGAGTCAGGAGTCGGATCCTCGAGAGAGCGTTTAGGACGTAGTGCATGGCTGAGCAGAAGAGGCGAGAGTGCTTCGCATGGCGCAGTGCTCTGGTTGGGAGGCTCAGCGCGTAGTTACGCACTCGTCTCGTCTCTGTCCGGGCTCTCGACGCTGCCCATACGCTAAGCGACATGTCGCTATGGGGTATTTGCTCGTTGGCGAGGCGGATGGGTTCCTTTCGATTGGGTGCTTGCCGAAGAGTTAGAGTCCGGAGGGGGGATGGATGTTTGTTTAGAAGCCTGGGGTTTTTTGTTTGCTTGTTTAGCGGGCCCGGCGGTGATATGAACTTAGGGATGTTGATAGAGAGAGAGTGCATGATTACAAATATTCCTGCAGTCTCCAGTGAGGTGAGCCCTGATGAACAGCTGAGGG